CCCCCGGCCCCCCAGCCCCGCACTCACCTGTCTCGTAGTAGTCGTAGACCTTGACCTGAGCGGGCTTCAGGCCCTGCACCGGGACGTCCCGCTCCACCGTGAAGGAGAAGCTGAGGGTCTGGCTGCTCAGCTGGGGAAGGGAAGCGGTGGAGGCTGAGGGGCGGCCCGGTGCTGCCCCGGGCTCCGCCGTGCCTCGGCGCTGCCCGCAGGCTCCCTCGCTCTCCCCCGCCACCCGTGCCCGGGCCCTGGTGGGTGCGGGGCTGCGGGCCTGGCCGAGGGGCAAGGGGAAACCCTGGGGCCTTTCCCGACGCTGGGGGAGGCTCTGGCTGGTGGGGAGGCCGGGGCCCGATCTGGGAGTGGGGCGCAGGGAAACCCTGCTGGGGGCTGGGAGGGAAGTCCGAGTAAGTCTGAAAGGTCGGCAAAAGTCAGTATGGGATTCAGTCCTGTTCTTCTCAGAGCCGTGGTGGTTTTGAGTCCCAGATCTTTTGCCCTATGTGGCCATATGTCCTAATGCCTGCGTTTCTGACCCATCATCACCGCAGACGGATGCTCACCTTTTCCAGATACACCAGCACATGGTTGGTACTCAACTCTGTTCGCTCAATAACAGGGCGGCTTTCCAGCTGAAGAAAGAAGACCAAGATGTTACTGCGTTGAGGGTGGTCTCCCTGTGCCCCTTACACAGCCCTATGGATGGGAGGTACGGTGGATGAAACACTGGGGTACTCGGGGAACCAAGTCTGCAGCATGGAACTGCCTCCTTGGTGTGCATGATACCATGGTCCCCAGGCCTTCCCTTTGCCAGCCCGGCTGATGAAATACAACCTGGCTCCAGTGGAGACTAAGCAGTTGTCCAAGCACAGTGATGAAACAACTCAATGAAAATACATTCCTTCACTTGCTACAGAAGCTTGGAAGGTGTCTTAAAGATAAGAAGCTGGATGTAGCTTGTTTGAAGAACAGGCTCCTACCTTCCTCACGGAGGACTTCACGGGGATGAATCCTGACAGCATCTTCACATCAACAATCACCATGTTGGAGCCATTGCGCTCCCCAGTGTAACTAAGGAACCAAACAACAAGGATTCAGCGCACCTCAAGTCAAAGCTGGGGGCACTTCCACCTTTTTCCATAACACTTGGCACCCCACCACGTACTGGCAGTCCAGCACTTTCTTCTCCAGCTATGCCAGGGCCTCCCAGTCACCTATGCAGCTTCTCGCTAGCCCAGCCCTGGGCTGCCCACACGGCTTCACCACTGCAGGACATGTCCTTCCTCCACAGCCTCTCATCCCAGCGCAGCTGCTTCCTACCCACTTTTCCAGGCATGCCCTGCCCCTCCAGGGCTTCCAGACTGGCTCACCCTGGACCGCCAGACCTCCTCCAGCTCCCGTGGCTTCTCAGGAAGGCTCAGACCCAAACGCAGGCTCACCTGACATTTACGCCTACGTCAAAGACCTTGTGAGCCTTGGAGTCCTCACATGTCTCTGGGATCGTGTAGACATGGAGCATGAAGGGTGCATCCTCCTGCGTGGGCTGCACGTTGTACCTCAGGCTTGTCTAGGGGAGAGCCAGCAGTTCTGTGTGAGCACGGGTGCGTGTGTGCTGAGCACGTGAGAGAGACCATCCTGTCCCCGTCCTGCCTCCCCACCACTCCCATTCTCTCAGCTCGTCCACGTTGCGGATCCTTCCCTCCTTCCCTCCCACTCTTTCTCCTCCACACACCTCTACTCTGCTTCTCCTCTTCCCGCTCCCAGAGCCTTCCCTCCCACTCCTCCCCTCTCCCCTGTCCCTTCTGCCCTCTCCCTGGCTCCCACCTGGCCAGGGGCTCTCCTCCCAGGATGCGTCCTGGCCCCATCACCCTCACCTGCAGGTAGACGCATCCTTCGCCAGACACCTCTGTGCTGTACTCCCCTGGCACCTGGGGCAGGGGCACGCGCTGGAGCAGCAGCCGGTTTGTGGGATCCACTTGGAAGTCTTGCTGGAAGTCCCCTCCAGATCGCAGGCTCACTTTAGAAGCTGCTCCGCTCTTGGCATAGGTGGCAGCTCCGTACAGGGACAGGGCTTGGAGAGCCACCACTGTGTCCTGAAAGAGATGGGTGCCGGCACCCAGGGGAATACAGTCGGCCTTTGCACAGCCTGCCCCCGCCCCCAGCCTGCCCTTTGCTGTCGCCAGGCATCCTCCCCTCCATTCTCCACTTTCTCCAGTTTTAAGTGCAAAGGGGAGAGGGAA